TCCTCCTGCCCCTCCCCCAACCCCACTTCCTTCCCTGCTCTTCCCCTCCCCTTTCTCACCTTACGATACTCTGCTCTCCTCTGCTCCCCTGTGCTCTAAACTGTCCTTCCTCCAGCTTGCCTCCCCTTTTTACCCACTTTGCCCCTTCTGTTTTCCCGCCCTCCATCCCACCTCCTGCCCACCCACTGGGTCCCACCGAAAGGCCCAGGGTTGCCCCTACCCAAGCCTGGCCTCTGCTGGTCTAGAGCACATTAACAAGGCGAGGTGCCCTTCCGCCCCCTTCCTCACCACCTCCCCCATGAACCCCTTGCTCTTTCTGGGGGCCTGGACTGCCACCTTTCCAGGCCCCCACAGACCCCCAAGGTTTCCTACACCCCAGCCCGGGCTCTGCCAGGGACCCCACCTACCTGTGCACTAAGCCTGCAGGCCCCTGGGCTCTTGGCTCAGGACCCTCCAGGCCCTTGGTGTTCCCCCGCCTGAGGTAGGCAGGAGATTGCTGTTTCCCGATGCCGACCCTTTGCTAAATATGCCTCTTTTCCGTGCCAGGTGGCAAAGGAGCCCCAATGCAGCTCCTGAGTTCATGATTAGACTTTTGAGGGGCCCTCAGAAGTTGGTGCAGAAACATGGCAATCGTTTCCGCACAGAGACACAGGTGCCCCCCACGCCCCGCAGTTCCAGAAAAAACAGGCCAGGATTTTTCCTCAGTATGAAAAGCCAGGCCTGGCTCCTGGGCTGTGGGGTAGCCCTCAGCTGGGTGGCAGGGGGCAGTGAAGGAGGCCATTCCTAGACCATTGAAGGGTAGTGTGGCCAAACTGGGGCTGAGTGGGGTGGGTGGGAACTCAGCCCTTCTCCGTCTGCTCCAGAAGTCTGCAGCTGGGGTCTCACTGGACTCAGCCTAACACTTGGCTCAGTTGCTTCAGGCTGACCTTGGGCCTCAGCTCTCTGTTGTCTCCAGCCTGAGTACAAAATAGCCCTGGGGGAGGGATGTGGGAATGCAGAGAATGGCAATGTGTGACCTTCAGTGGTGGTGACAATTGCAGGGCAGGAGCAGAGATCTCTTTCTTTCAGTGAGAGTTGTCCATGTATCAGGTCCCCACCCACTTGGTTCAGGGTAGACCAGGAAAAGATTGGGCCCAGGCTGAGTTCACAGCACCTATGTCCTGAGGAAGGACACTCGTGTGTGATTTACAAATGCAAGTACTGCAGACATGGAAGGCATGCTCCTTGGTTCTTCGCAGGTGGGCCGCATCTAGACTACTGCAGCCTTGTTTGCTGTCTAACAGCTGCCAGCATGCCTGGGAGGGCCGCTGTCCCACCAGGAGCCTTCTGTCTGGAGTTCCACATGTCGGGCACAAGGTATCACAATCCACATATTTGCAAATTTGTTCAGGGAAGAAGGATGGCCCTGTGGGATCGCAAAGGGCAGAATGAGCGCAGATGGGTGGAAATTAAATGAGAAAGTGGATTTCCACCCCCTGTGAGAGCTTGCTGACAGATCTCTCTGCCAGAGGAGCTGGCCACTCTTGCAAGGCCAGTGTTGAGACAGATCCAGGGTTACCACTGACCATCTCAAGGGGCCTTGCAGCTGAGTGGGCAGGTAGCACTTGTCAGCAAGTGCTGGAACCTTCCCACTTTCAGACCCTTGTGCTCTGAGCCTGGCAGAAGACAGCCGAGGGTAAAGCAGACACTTCTCATGGATGTCCCAGTGCCCACACTTCTGGATTTGAGACCTTCAAGAATCCTAAACATCTCCAGCCTATGTACAAGCAGATAGGACAGAAGTAAATGAGACCTCGAAAAAGCCCCCAAGTGCATCCCATGCACAGAGGGCTGCATTCCCCGTTCCCCCGGCCCAAGCCTGATGACCCAAGCCCCCCCCACAGTGACCCAGTTTGTCTTCTTCTTGTCTATCATTTCATTGTGGCAGACTTTGTACACGTGTGAAAGAACAGCAAAGTGAACCCCAATCACTCTTCTTTTCTAACCCACTTACCTTCCCCACCAACATTAATTTCAAGCATATCAAAGACACTCTGCAGGCCAGTTTGTCACTGAGCCTCCCCAGAAATTCAGAGTGTGGTATTTAAGGTATCTTTGGTACATTTCTTTCCATTTCCCTGTCAGAACAACAGCATCAGGGATATACAGAGGAGCAGGAGAAGGCATTTAAGTCCCAAGTGAGAAAGAGGCTCAGGTGTGACAGCTTAAGTGACACTTAACCCTACTTGGCTTCATGTATCACTTAGTTGTTGTACAGGGACACATATCTCTCTTCCTGTGCCGCTGCTTCTGCCTAGTGTGTGTGGTGCAGGTGTGCGGGGCTGACCAGAAGCCAGGCCCAAAAAGGGAGCATTTCACTTCCGGAAGAGCCGACGGGTCGTGTCCAGCCTCAGTGTGGGCGTTGGTGTCCAGGCTGAGAGGGGTGAGCATAGGGAGTGGAGAAATGGCCCCTGCAGGGTCAGGGACCTGCCTCAGTTCTGGAGAGATGACTTTTGAATGTGACCAGAAGTGCTCTGTGGCACAGGATGGTACCTCTACTGTGATAGATGCTGAGAGAGGGGACCTGCCACCACATCACCCCTGCACAGTTCCTGCCCCTCAGTCACCCCAGTGAGGTTCTTCCTGGCCAGCCTCCAAATTAAAGTGTCCTCCCTGGTCACCCTTGGCACACAGAGGACACTCTTAGGCTGTAAGAGGGAAGCCACTTGGGATTCTGAAACCTCCAGATGCCCCTGGTCCCCTCCTGTGTTCCCACTGTCCCCTTGACCCCTACAGTCCCCAGAGGGCTGCTTTCCTTAAACCCACATGGGGAAATTTGGGGTTGGCTCTAGCAGCAAGAATATAAATGAAGGCTGCTGAGGCTTTGCTGTTGTTCTCTGCTCCCTGCATGACATCGTCACCGTCAAAGCAGAGTATCAACTAAATCTGGTTAAGGGCTATAATCTAGCCCTCAGCACACTTTGACTGCAGCCCTTCCCACATCCCTGTGCACAGTGAGTAATAGAGCCCGCTTTTGCCACATGAATGGAGTGCAAGTGTTCTGGGAAGGGCCTGCATTGCCCCAGCTCCATGCAGGGGACAGTCAAAGTCAGCAGTGCTGCTGAGTGTGCCTGTCCCACCATCAGCCTGACCAGTGTGGAACCTCCTCCTTGCCCTCCTAGGCGCCCTCTGCCACCAGCTGCTGGAGCCCCAGGTTCTCCCTGCCTGTTGGCAGACACCCAACATCCTTTCCTCCAATGCCTGCCCCTGCACCCCAGCAGTGAGTGTCTCCTGCCCACGAGGCGACTATGAAGTCATCATGCTCCTCTCTCATCTACACCAGGCTTCGAACAGTCCACTAGATTTGTTCCTGGATATCTCTTCCTTCTTCTGTGCTCCACGGCCCTCTCCACTGTGGTAGTGTGCAGACTTCCGCTCAGGATGTTGCTTCTAATAGCACAGTGTTGAATAGAAACGGTAGAAATGAAACCAGCTATACCAAAATCCAGTTTTCAAATTATTTTAAAATGTGATCCACTTGCTTCTTATTTATACATTGAATATTATGCTTAACTTTTTTCTCCATAGAGTTTATTTTTTTAATTAATAAAGTCTATCGGTACAGTTTTAGATATACATAATGACCCCATTCATCATAGGGAAGTTTGAATGTTACACTCCAGCAATGGGCCTAATAACAAATATTTCAAAGTTGTAACAAATGCCCAAGATTTTAAACTCTGGACAACTGAGCTTTGGTTTTTCCTGGGGATGAATTTGCACACACTCTGTAGTTCTGTTGCCTACATGAGGACCTCAAGAAAATGCTTCATCCTAAATGTTGGTGGGAAACATTCTTCTTCTTTTCCTATCCACCCCCTTTGGATGGACCCTCTGTAGGCTATCAGATTAAAATTGTTATCTTAAGAAGAAAGGCACTGAAATCTGTAGCATCTCATGTAGTGTTTCTTGTAAAATCACCCTCAAACATGTTTAGTGTATTAATGGAGACAGGACCCTTGGTCATAAGGGACAGAAATGATGTTCACACTCTTGATTGCAGGTGCAGTTAAATGCTGGAGGCCCAGCAGCCATGTGAAGTCTTCCTATTCACTCTTCTCTCTGACTCTGTTTCCCTCTTTGTCTCTAATTGGCTCTGGTTCTGTTGGGTGTTGGTCTCATTCTTTCCTGGCCCAAGGCTGCTGGCAGCCAGGATTTAAATGGACGATAACAAAGACTCTTTTGCTTTGTGTTGCAAATCTAATGGGAAGGCTTTTATTGGATCTCGTGGTAAACCATAGATTTGCAGCTCTGGATGGCGATGGTGTGGCTGTTGCTTGTGATGTGTCAACTTGACAGCAGTAAGACCTGTGTGCAGACTAGTAAAGCTCCAGGTATGTCTGTGGATCACTGACAAGCAGGCTGCAAGGAGAGGGAGGAAGACCCACCCCAGATGTGGGTGGCAGAATAGAGTGGGAAAGAATTAGGTA